CACCGCCCCTCCCCCCGCCCAGGGCCTCGCTTTCCCAACTGGGAAAGCCAACTCCAGCCTTCAGGTCGGCAGGAGCTACACGTAGTAGAACTCCAACACCTTTCGCCTCCGCGGTTCTGCTACCAGAGCCTCCCGGAGGGTTGGCAACTGTGGAGTCAGGAACCACCCGGGGGTCATTTCCAGCTCGGACTGGCTGTGCGCGTGCCTGGCGGCTTGGGAGTGCTACACAGCCGGGGACAGAATGGAAGGGGTCGCACCACGTGCCCACCAAGGGCAGGTCCCACACCGCTGTAGGGTCAACAGAGCAAACTGCGGTACAACAGAGTGACAGAGTACGTGAGACCTGCAAGGGACTTCACCTCTGAGCGTCTGTATCCTTTTCTGCAAAATGGGGGTAGAGACCATAAAGGATGGTTGTGGGGACTCACCTACTGACTGTAAAGGGCTTAGAATAGGAACTGGCTCAGAGAAGGCTCACCTAGGGGTTAAACAGGTCTGTGTGGACTGCCTCCCAGCCCCCCTCGGCTCCCCCTTTCAAACTCAATTCAGCCCTCTCTCTCCCCACCATTCTGGCTCTTCATCTTCCACACAGCAGCCAAAGGGAACTTTTAAAATACGAAACAGGATGTCATTGCTATCTCAGACTCACCAGTGAGTCTGAACTTCTCTCTACTCTGGCCCTCACCTCAGGACTCCACACTGGCTTCTCTCAGGTCCTCTGTGCCCTGCTCCCTCCTGCCCCAGGGCCTTTGTCCACATTGCCCTGTCTGCTAGGTGTGTTCATATTTTCCTCCTCTGTTAACTCTATCCCACAGCTCTCAGCTCAAGCATCACCTCTTCCAGGAAGCCCTCTGATTTTCTCATTGGTCTAATAAATCTCCTCCAGACGACCCTGAGAGACCCAGGAGGGAACATGTGTCCCCAGAACCTAAAAGAACCTGATACAGAATCATCCTGTTGTAATTATTTGTTGCAGGTTTACAAATGCCCAGAAACATCTGGAAGGAACACAGCAATCAGAGTGGCCTCTCTGGGACTCTGGGGAAAGGAGGGGAGTTCGCTTACTACTTCACTGGGTCAGTTTTTAAGATTAGGACAAATATGGTGACAAAGCCTAGCTTTCCTATGGCTGTGGGGCTCAAATGAAATGAAACCAAGCAAGGGCAGGGAGAGGGGAAATAGACAAGGCGCGTTTTCCAAGCAACCAGGACCTCTCCCACCCCCAGGTCTGCTCCCGGTACATAGTCCCAAAACCCAGCCCAAACACCATCAAAATATTTATTAAAACCAAAGCAGGAGGGAACAGAGCGGTTAGGAAGGCAAATCAAAGTGCAGATTGGAGGGGGGGGCAGAGCAACAAGTGGGGTAGAGGGGCCCCTGTGGTCTGGGCTAGCGGAAGCCCTTCACCCACCCCTCCTGCCCACCTTCTCAGTGAAGGTCCCCCACTCACCTCTCCCATCTCACATCCATCCTGGGGGGCAGTTGGGGCCCTGCAGTGACCCCCTGGGGAGGGACCACCCCCTTGATCCACCCATGGCTGTCAGTCAGTCAGTCTGTCTCCCTCCCTCACTTTCCCAATAAATAAACCGCTCGGGCCTCAGCTCCTTCGGAGTAGGGCAAAGAACAGCTCAGGGACCCCTGCCCCGCTCAGGGGTATAGGGAGTTGGGGCATCAGTCCCACATCCCTCCTACCCTTTGCTGGTGCCCCAGGTTTGCCAAAGAGGCCTTGATAAATAAATAACGCTCCATTAAAGCTTCGATCAGAAAAACCTTTAAGACGACAGAAGTGCTCTCGCTGTCCTGCAAACAAGCAGGCCAAGGCCTCACCACCTGGCCTGGTCAGCACACAGGATTCTGGGGGCAGGTGGCCACCCTGGGCCTCGTGGGGCCCCTGGAGCAAGGAGACCAAAAGTGCAGTTAGAGCCCCCACCACGCGCACACATGGACTCATGCACACACACGTGGACACACTGGGGCGTGTTTTCAGTGCACGCACAGATGTGTTCACCTTCATTCCCCGGTACATGCACACACACATGCTCACACACCACTCACCCCGTGTACACACATGTTGGGTGTTGGGTGCATGCACATACACACCACAAACAGAATCCTTCCCTTCCTGGCTTGCTCAGCCTCCTGGCAAGTAGCCAGACTCCAGAGCTAGAAGCTTCTGGAGATAGGGGAGAGGGGTATAAATTAAACGTTTCCAATTGGGCTGGGAGGACGGCCAGGGGCAGGGGGCTCCAGGGCTGCAAAGACAGGGTGGGCATCTCAGGAGGCCCTGGTCCCCCCCAAGCCCCGTCAGAAATCCAGAGGGGTAAGGTCCCCAAAGTCACAGTCGAAGAGGTCTCTGATGCCCTCACCCTCCTCAAGGCCAAAGTGGTAGTCGAGGGCCTCCTGAGGTGGGGACAGGCTGATGAACTCCTCAGGGAGGAGGCCGGAGAAGTCCTCCCGCACATGTTCCAGGAGCGAGTCGGCCGCCACCAGCGGGGACAGGCGGTCCTCGTCCACGGGGGCTCGCAGGCCGCCCATCCGGGAAAGCAGAGGTTCTGGGGAGATGGGGGAGCATCACAGGCCGGGGACGGCCCGCAGGGAAGGCAGGGAGGGCAGGGGGGCTATTGTGCCTGCCCACCCAGCTGGGAAAGGGACCCTGACCTACCCCACCCACCTACCCTTCACCCACCTTGCTCCAGGCTGAGCAGGGACTGGCTGGGATCCGCAGCAGGGGACGAAGCGGGAGATGATGGCGGTGGCACTGTGGTGGCAGGGTGAACTGCCCGGTCCTCCTCCCCAGAAGCTGTCCCCTGGGACAGGGTCTTCCCAGGGCTGATCCCGCCTGCAGTCTCCTCAGGGCACAGGAAAACGTCAATGGGGCCTTGTTTGCTCTTAAGGGAGATCTGAAAGGTCTGGGTGGAGGCGGCAGGCAGGGTAAATGGAGGCTCAGCTGACCACCAACCCCACCCAGCCTGTCCTGGGCAGGTCTGGAGTCCTGGGTCTCACCTCTGAGGAGTCTACAGCTTGGAGCTGGGTCTCGGGAGGGGCCTTGATCACCATGACCATCTGCTCTGCAGGGTCTGCGATGCTACGAAGGTCCTGGCAGGTCACGTAGGCCAGGGTTGGTGGAGTCAAGGACCATATGACCTTTGACCTCTGGGGTCACCCACCCGGACAGTTCATTAAGAGCCCATACCTACTTAGTTTGTTCTGTCCTCTCCATACCCCACCCCAGGGCCTGGCACATAGTTGGTGCTTGAGATTGTCTCACGCCCTTGAGCTTCAATTTCCACATCTGTACAATGAGATCATTCTACCCACGAAATCCCAAGGTAATGATGGCTGCCTGCAATAATTTCACGTAAATTACTTAACACAATGCCACACCTGGTGCTGAGAATTTATTCTGACCTGTGACCTTGGTGTCAGTTGGTGGTTGTCTCCAAAACTTATAAACATCATTCGGGGGGCACCTGGGTGGCTCAGTCAGTTAAGCATCGGCCTTCAGCTCAGGTCATAATCCCCACATCGGGCTCCCTGCTCAGCAGGGGTCTGCTTTCCCTCCCCCTGCTCTTGTGCTCTCTCACACGCATGCGCTCTCTCTCTCCCCCTTCAAATCTTAAAAACAAAAACAAAAACAAAAAACCCCACATAATTGGGTATTCACTAAAAAAAAGCAAACAAAAAAACACTTATTTTAAAATAAAGTTTCTAGCGGCGCCTGGTTGGCTCAGTCAGTGGAGCGTGGGACTCTTCTCGGGGTAGTGAGTTTGAGCCTCGTGTTGGGTATAGAGATTACTTAAAAATAGAATTTTAAAAAGTTTCTATTTTTGTGAATGAAAGGCAAATAAGAACTTAGATCTCTAACTTTGAAGCTACTGCCATGTACCAAATCACTACTAAATAAATGTTTGCTACTGCTCGTACTAGAGTTTCTTGTTTTAGTCTGCGAAGTTTGGGGATTGATTACTTTCCCCTTTTACAGACGAAGCTGAGGCTCCGAGACGTCCCGTAACTTGTCCAGCCTAACACTGAGTAAGTGCTCAGCCCACAACTGGCATCCAAAGCCAGAGCCCCTTCCTGAATCCAGGGCCTGGGGTCGCCTCCCTAGTCCCACTTGGATGGGGCCCCACCGCCAGTCCTGTACCCCGCGGCAGCGCTCCCCACAGTCCAAGGATATCGCTGGCTGTCGGAGTCCTCAGACAGCAGCCGCAGCTGTGTGGTGCAGATGTGGATCAGGTGGTCCAGCTGCCGCTCACTCTCCTGGAGCTGCCGGAGGTCCTGGGTCAGTCCTTCAAGCCGCCCACCGATCCCCACTGCCGCGTGGCTGCCTCTGCAGGAGGCAAATGGAGGGTTTGCAGCTCCTGGCCCGGGAGCCCTAACCCTCACACCCAGTCTGCTGCCGCCCGTTCTGTGAGGCCCAAACAAGCCCTCGTCCCTCTCTGGGTCTGGCTCCTCCTCGGCTGGGAAATGGCAGAGGGCGGAAGCTGGGCTCCAGGTCAGCCCGGCTGGGCTCCAAAGTTGGGCCTGAATGGCTGTGAATACGACTCGTCCCTCACAGGGGGCAGGCTAAGTAGAAGATGGCACAGGAATGCCTTGGAATACTATCCGGTTGTATAAAAGGCCGAGCATATAACAGATATACAGACATGGACGCACTTCCAAGACGTGTGGTCAAGTAGAAAGAAAAAAAATGATGCAGAATGGAATGATCCACCAAAAACTGAAAAGGAAGAGGTGTCAAAGAGAAGGGAGCAGGAAGGCCAGGGAAGGAGATGAGAGGGGAAAACTAAAACAAGAATTAACAAGAATCAAACAGTCGTGTTAGACAATCGCACTGATGGCAAGAGAGGGCAGAATAGTCATCACCTAAGGGGAGGAGGGGTGGGCAACCACTGGGAAGGAGCACAGGGATCTTTCGTGGTGCTGGACATGTTCTTCATCCTGATCTGGATGGTGGCTCCCCAGGCGAAGAAATACATGACGGTGCATTGAGCTACCGATGTACGATCTGTGGACTTCCCTCAGAGAAGCCACCTCCCCCTCTAAGCCTTGGTTTCCCCAGCGAGATGACGAGGATGCGGACAAGGCCCGGTGGAGATCACGATCAGCTCCTGCACGCTGGCCTGGCCCCGGGGGCCTCAGCCTCTGCCTGCCCTGCCGAGTGGCTGGTACCTACAGCCACTGGATGTGGTTCTTGGACTTCTTGGCGATGAGCTGGATGCCCTCGAGGACATTGGTGATGTCGTAGATGCGGCGCTTCTGCACCTTCAGCACCTCGGCGGCCCAGTTGAGATCAACAACGCCATCGGCTGAGCGGCCCAGCAGCTCCAGGAAGCGTTTTGTGGTCAGATTCAGCGAGGTCTCATAGCGTGACTTTTCGCCTGGGGATTTCACACCTGGGGGTCCAGGCAAGGAGGGCTCCCTCAGCACCACACCCACACCCAGGCAGGCTAGCTTTCCCGCAGTGCAGGGCAGGAAGATGGGGGTGGGAGGGGCAGATGGCTCCTTCCCCTTGGCGAAGCCAACAGGGAGGACCTGGGCCTGCTGCCTGCCAACCACACGACATGCCTCTTCTGGCTGGGGAACTCCCCACCCCCTAGGCCCTAGGGAAGCCATGCCAGGCAGCCACTCCAGCTGCCCCTCGGGGCCCCCAGAGGCCTGGCTCAGGTCCAGGCCTGACAGACCAGAGCTTACTTTGCAAGCATGTCTGTCTGTCCACACCCCCAACTTGGGCCTGGTCAGAGGGCCTGCCCGAGCCCAAGCTCTGTGGGTACCTTTTCCTGGGTGGCGGCCTCTGCCCCGGGCTGGCCCGCTGCTCTCAGCCAGGTACTGATGGTCAGTTTCCAGGTCCAACCTCCGCTTCACCTGTGGCAGAGACAACGGGAAAATGCCCAATAACCAGGAGCGAGGCCACAAGAGACCTGGCTCAGGGCTTGGTGCTCCTGGGCCACCCCTACCCCACTTTCTCTACCAGGCCACCTAAGTGTGTGAGGGAGGGGGAGATCCCAGGGGACATAATCCTACCACACGGGACACATCACCCAAACGGAGGGCAAAAGACCCGAGTTCAAGTTCTAGCTCTACCACTACTTCCATGGGTGTCTGTGGTGGTTTTAAAGTAGGTCAGCAAATTTGATACTCTTCCTTTCCAAAAAATGGGGCCTAATTCTCCTCCCCTTAAATATGGGCCAGATCTGGTAACTTGCTTCTAAGCAGCAGTGTGATGGAAGTGATGACAAGTCACTTCTTGAACTGGGTCAGAGACGCACTGGAGCTTCCTCCTTCTTTTCTATGTTGGACCACTCACCCTGGGGAGAGCCATGGCCATGTCACACAGGCCCAAGTGGCAAGGCACTGAGGCCTCCTCTAGTAGCAACATGAGTCTTAGAAACAAGTCCCCCAACCTTGGTCATGCCTTCTGATGACTGTAGCCTGGCCCAACATTTTGGCTACAACCTCAGATCCTTAGCCAGAAGCACTAGGCTAAGTCTCCTCTGAATTCCTGCCCCACAAGTCTGTATGAATAATAAATGTTTGTTATTGGGGTTTTATTTTAATTAAGTTTTTAATTTCAATTCTAGTATCATTAACATACAGTTGTTGTATTAGTTAAGTGCTTGTTGTTTTAAGCCATTAGGATACAGGTCCCTTGGGCGAGTCACCTCCTCTCTGGTTCTATGAACATGGTGGCAGTTAGTGCTCACCACGTGCTTTGCACATGTTAATTCATTCTGTCCTGTGGACCAGCAGCACAATAATGGCTCTGTTTTGGGGCACCTGGGTGGCTCAGTCAGTTGGGCGTCTGCCTTCAGCTCAGGTCACGATCCCACCCCGTATCGGGCTCCCTGCTCAGCAGGGAGTCTGCTTCTCCCTCTCCCACTCCCCCTGCTGTGCTCTCTGGCGCTCTGTCAAATAAATAAATAAAATCTTTAAAAATAATAATAATGGGGGGTGGGAGGATGGGTTGGCCTGGTGGTGGGTATTGAGGAGGGCATGTTCTGCATGGAGCACTGGGTGTTGTGCACAAACAATGAATCATGGAACACTTCATCTAGAACTAATGATGTAATGTATGGGGATTAACATAAGAATTAAAAAAAAAAAAGAAAAAAAAATAATAATGATGGCTCCATTTTACAGATAAAGTTAACTGAAGCCTAGAGAGCCCGAAGGTCCGACGGCCAGGAAGCGGCTAAGCCAGGATTCCCGTCACACACACTGGAGGATGGAGACTGCCCCAGAAGTCTCACAGGCATCTCAGGCCCATCCTGACCCACACCAGCCATACCTGCCCCTCTCTCACCCACAGGGTTTCCTGAGCTAGAACCTCATTCGGCAGCCATGCCCTCATCACACCTGGTTGCCAAGAAATCCCATCACCACAGCCACTGTCTCCTCCCATCTGGACCACTCAGCCATCTCCCCACCTCCATCTGTCCCTCTCCAGCCTAGTACCCTCTCGGCCACTTCTCCACATGAACTTCCGCTCAGACAGGTTTTCTCACAGACCTCTGCCTCCAAGCCTTAGCCCACGGGGGTTCCCTCCCGGCAGTGCCCTCCCTGCCTCCCTCCACTTTGCACAGACTCTTCCCACCTCTGTGGGCAGGCACCTTAGTTACTTAGGTCTTTCTGATCCTGCAAAAGACCGGGCCGCTTCTCCCGCCAAAGCGCCTCAAACCCGACCTTTCCCCACATTATCTCTTGCTACAAATTTCCGGAGAGGTGTTGGCCTCACCCGGAAGGCAGTGCCCCCTCAGAGGCAGGCGCTGGGCCTGAATCGTCACTGTCCACCGGGGCGCCTGGTGTTAACTAACGTGCGTCGCCAGGCCCAGACCCCCCCTCTCGCGGCACCTTGGGGGATGCCCTCGGGTGTCCCGGGGACAGAAGCGCTCGCACGTGCCCAGTGCCTCTGGTGTACCGAGCACTGCTAAAGAATGGCTTTACCTGCATCCAGTCATCAAACCCTCTGCCCAGGCCTTGCAACAGATGCCGTGGTGACCTCCCCTTCCCTAGGGGCCTGCAGCTCAGAAAGGTCGGTGAGAGGCAGGGCCAGGATGTGAGCCCTAACAAGCTGGCACAGAGCCCACGTTCCTATGGACCATGTGCCCGGCCTGCTGGCAGCCTCGTCCAGAACCCAGCCCCCCAAAAGCCAGCCTTGTCCCTTGGGCCTGAACCTAGCATGCTCCTGCCAATGGCACCCCTCATCTCCTCCCCGTTCCTCAGGCCCCTACCCACCCCTGAAGACAGGTCAATGCCACACCGCAAAGCAAGGGCTCAAGCAGAGGTCCATTTCTGCCACTGCTCTCTAGAGATCTTGGCACAGGAGCCTAAAAAGGCAGAGGTGAAAACACACAGAACACTGGTGAAAAAATCTGGGCCACTCCAACAACCACCTGTGGAAGGGGAGCCACAGAAAGTGTGGCTCCCCCAGCCCCGGAGTACCACGCAGCTGTCGAGGACTAAGGCAGGGTGACACAATCCTCTCAGAGACATAATGACAAGAAAAATGTCATTAGAGGGCAATGCATTTATGTGATCCCTTTTTGGACTAAAAAAACCTCATGAAACATTTTTCTCTGGTTTAGTTTCTAATATTTTAGAATCTCTTCTAGGAGTAACCTCTGTATGGTGTGTGAGTGGGGGACAACCACGGGGGACTGTTACGGTATCTATAAAGTATGAATGACCCACTGTTTAAACATAGAAATAAAGGAAAAACTACAATTCCTAAAACTTAAGAAAAAGAAAGCTGTCACAACCACCTTTAAAAAAAAAAAACAAGCTTAGGAAAAGAAAACAGAAGGAAAAATGGATGGGGTTGGCATCCTTCAACTTTTTAGTCTCTTAACTCTTTTTCTATAGCAAATGTCTATCATATTTAACCTGTTTTTTAAACAGCCATGACAACAGGATAGAAGTGCACAGGAAGGGCCAGGAGAAATGGCTGAATTGTACAGGGCCTTGTATATGCAAGAGGTGCTCAATGAATTCTCACTGATGCAGAAGCTGAACCTGCAGCTTGTTTCAAAGACTGCCCCAAACCAGTGCCAGTGCAGAAGGTCAGAGGAGGCCACAGCTCAGGGGTACAAGAGCGGGGAGTGCTGGAGGGCCAAAGCTGGGCCCATGTTTCTGGACTTCAGCTCCAGGATGGTGCCAGGCCTCACCCCCACCCACCGGCAGAAAATGGCTCCCAGTGCTTCAATGCTGTGAGGGCAGAGGCTCCTTGCTTGCCCATGTCTAGTACCTCTTGGGTGTTCACTAGCTCAATAACAGTTGAATGAATGGAATGCTCAGGCCCGCAAAGGCTGCCCCTGACACCGCTGGGGGTGAGGTGGCGCACATTTCCTCAGCCCAGTCTCTGGCAGTCCATCCGAGCTTGGAGCTCAGCCTCTACTGCCCTGGGGGTCTGCTAAGTACTGTCAGTTAGTCAGCTACACGCAGTTTTCTGCTGGCACCTGCAGAGAAAAGCCACTGGGATATAGGTGACCCGCCCCTTGGTACAATCCTCCTCCCCTGACCCATCAGAAGGGTCCCTGAACTTCCTTCAACCTCTATTAGCATCCCCAGGAGGCAAAGCATCCCAGTGGCTAATTGGTTAACCGCTCAGGAAGTCTGGACTGGTCCCACCATTTCACTAGCTGAATGACCTACCATCTCTAGGTCTCCACTTCCCTATCTGTAAAACGGGATGGTTGTTGAGTTAACTGGGTGAAGTGCTTGGCACACAGCCTGACACACAAAACAGTCTCAAAACAATGGTGGCTCCCATTGTTATTATTATTAGCATCTTGGTGATTCCAGAAGGAAGGCAGCACTGGGCGAGGGGCCAAGGGAGTTAGGGGAGACTTGCCGGGATGCCTCAGGGACCAGCTGCCACCCAGGCCCCTATAAGCAGTTGGACAGCTTCCACCTCCTTGCCCTGGCTCTGCCTCACCCCTCCCACTTGCTCCAAGCCCCCTGCTGAGACCCCATCCTGCCAGGCTGGCCTGGCCCCCCTGCCAGCCTTCCACACCCCACCTTCACCCACAGGCTCTGACAGTCAAACTGGTCTCCACACCCAGTCCTGCAGCCCACAGGTCCAAGCTTCAGGCCTCTACGCCCTTCTCCCCTGTAATTCAGCAACCTCTTCTGGGTACCCCCAGTCCAAACTGGTCTTGAGCCTCTTGCTGCTCAGGGAACACTTTATCAAGCCATCTCCCTGGGATGTTTACTCTCTCCTGGCACTGGGGGCCTCTACTCCAGCTCCCAGAGGCCCAGCCCACCCAGGACTTCCCTGGGGGCCTAGGGGTCTGCCTGCCTGATTAATGAGGCTCCATGGCAACCAGGGCCTGTGAGGGTGGAGGGTGGCAGATGGAAGGACAGGCAGAGGGAGGGGATCAGCAGCTGGCCCAGTCACCCCGCCCCTGCAGAGAAGGCCTCCCAGCCAGGAAGCCTGTCCCCAGAGGCCCAGGCCTGCACCTGGCAGTGGAGCATCTAGGCAGGAAGGAGGGTCTCCTCAATGACTCTTTAATAGTCTGGCCCCAGAACACCCCCCTTCACCTCCCCAAGGAGCCATTACCACTACCCTGCCGCGAGTTCTGGTCTGGAGCCAGCAGACCTCAATTCAAATCCCAGCCTCACCACTTGCAGCCGTATGACCGGGGGCAAGTCACTTCCCCTCTCTGGGCCTCAGTTCAGATGGGCGCAGTGACAACACTGAGTTCACAGCATGGTTGTGTTTTAGCTGGCTCGAAGTCGGCCAGAGAACTGGCATGCAGGCAACGCCAGCTGAATACACGTGGGCCATTATTACCGGAGTCTGACCCTCGAGCGGCTCCGGGAAGCTGAGGCCCAGGGTAGAGGAGCAAACAGGGACTGGCCCGAGGTCACCCCGCACCCCGGGGCGGGGCCCGGAGGCCCAACCCAGGCTCGGCCCCGCCCAGCCCGGGAGCCTCGGCCCACCCCCTCCCCCGCTGCCTCCGGGCCAAAAACCGCGCCCCGCCCGGGTCTGCACGGGGGTCCAGACGCACACTCGGCCCAGTGTCCCTGGTGTCCGTACCGGCGGGCGGCCC